TCTACTGGGTGAAAATTTTCAATGTTATCCTCAACTTCAATAATTATTTTACCATACTGAATGTTTCATACAAATCTATACAAAGGTAAACCGTACATTCACAGATATAGTCCAGTCATTTTTTTGAGGGGGGTGATACGATCCGTCGTCAAGTTATGTCATTCTGGAGGTTGTTGTTTCATCATTTAGAGGGTAATAGTGTTTTAAACAAATATTTCTCAACGAATCAGATTCAACTTATTTACATAAAATATGATATAACCGGTTTGAGGATATTTCTCTACAACATATATAGTTTTTATATGAAACATATATATATATATTTCTTTCACCGCTTTCACAGAAGAGGTGGGCCATTAAATCTCATTTGTCTGTCAGTCTGTCACAAAAATTTTAAACTTGGTCATGACTTCTGAATGAGAAAAGAAAAGGTATTCATATTTCACTTGTACGTTTCCTATGACAAGTCCTTTCCAAATATATTATGGATTTTACCCACTGAACTTGGCCATGAAGTATGGTCTTGTTTTCAAAAATGTAAACATTGGTTATAACTTTTGAATGGGAGAAAAACGTTTATTTAAGACATGTGGACTATTTTTAACATGAAGTTTCCGAACGTGCCCTATTTTTTACCCCGTGACCTTGAGGTTTAACCTTATTTTCAAAACATTTTACATTAAGGATAACTTCTGGATGAAAGGAGATGGGCCATTCATAATTGATATGTGCATTACCTGTGACAAGACGTTTCCGAACACGCAATGATTTTTGACCCGATGACCTTGACTTTGAAGTTTGATCTAATTTTCAAGACTTTAAACATTGCAGATAACTTTTGAGTGAGAAATGAACTTTTTATATTTAACATGTTTTTTTACATGTTTCAAGATCTTCTGTAATGTACTCTGGTTATTATCCACATAACCTTGGCCTTAAAATTTAACAGTCTTTTTCGATTTATTTTACATTGGTGCAGTGTAACTACTTTTGAATGAAGGAAGATACGGATTTTATACTTTACTTGTACATAACCTATGACCATACCTTCCCTGTACATTATAAGTACCTATGACATCCTTCATGACTTTGACATAGAGGTTTGACCTACTTATAAAAAATTTTAACTTTGGCCATAATATTTGCTCTATAAGAGACAAGGCTTTCACTTTTTTTTCTCACACATGCATTACTTGTAACAAGACTACTTTCAAATGGTACTGTAGATTCCTTATTTTACGCGAGTACTCATTATCGCGAAATGACCCAAGGATGTCAAATCGCGAGAATAATAATTCGCGAATGGCTGATTTATCTAGAGATTTTACATACATTAAAGCACCATAAAAATAAAAGCGAGTAATTTTATTTCGCGAGCGGTGCTTCTCGCGTAATTACGCGATAATTTATTCCTCGCGTATATTTAGGAATCTACAGTATAATGATATTTGACCTCATGACCTTGAGTTTGAAGTTCAAAGCAGTATTAAGAAACTTTAATCTTTGCTGTAACTTTAACTCATTCAAAAATTCATATGCTTTCTGTATGATGGACAGACAAGACAGGACATACAAACAAGATTGCAATATTATGCCATAAGCTTTTGCATCCCAATAATTAAAACATCAAACGCGGGGGGGGGGGGGGGCACAATTCTTTGAATTTGACAGTTCGATTTAAACTCTAATATTACGAAATGTATTTAGAATTTGAGATACTGAAATCAATCCAATAAGTTATTTGCAACACATATTTAAACATTCAACGTTACTCAAATTTTAAGTAATCATGTTCAGAGATATCTACTTGATTTTGTTCCTTTTCATGCGTTAAAATTTCTACTCAGAAATTATATATACACGTGTAGGATAACTGTTCCCGATAAAAAAAAATCCCTGCCATACTTTGTCATTCAGTACTAATAGAATACACCATGTTATTTCAATTAATATTCAAATAATGTGATTCTATAAAAGCTTTACAAAAATGAATATAAGTTAAAAAAGTATTTTTTGTACATTTCTATATTCCGTGGATTTTGTCGTTGTGTACCTTAACAGTGCTGCGAACATGCAAAAAAGACATATATGCATAAATTCTCTCTTGATTTGAAAATACCCTCTTTTAATTTCTTATATCATTTAAATTATGCTTTATCTTTCAAGTAGACTTAACAGAAACTATTTCCAAATGTATAAAAATAATTCATCTTCTTTAGAACGCATCTCAGGCAATAAATACGGGTCTATTATTTAACTGTGTATTTTTAAATTTAATTTATTGATTTATAAAGAAATCTTTTTTTTCGGACGTAGGTAGCAATTACATTTTTTTGTAGTGAAAGTATGGTGGAAGCAAATATTGAATAATCATAAGGGTTGTTAAGTTTTAAAAAAGTAACCTTTGTTTATCTTCGTCAGTTATTCCGTAAAGACATGACCAACTTGAAAAATTAGCTGTAAGCTAAATAATTTAGCTGTAATAACATTTTAGTGCTAGCGCCTTTTGCGCTATTTCTTTTGCCAATTCACAAACACAAATTATCAAAACAATAGAAATAGGACTTTTATATAGGGTCCTTGCACGCACAGTATTTAAGTTTTTCCAAACACTCTATGAAAAGTCTTTGATACCATAGACTTGCATCAGGAAAACTGGGTTACTTCGTTACCTGCTTACCATGACGACATGTCCCAAACCTTGTATGTTTGTTGCTTAACGTCCCTCTCCAGAATTTTTCCCTCATATGGAGACGCCAACACTTGCCTTTAGAGGGCAGCAAATTTAGACCTATATTCGGCACTCAGGCCCATTGAGCAGTGAGGGATCTTTTTCGTGCCAGCACCTACTGCGACACGGGACCTCGGTTTATACGGTATCATCCGAAGAACCGGTCTTCACGTCCCAAAACGGGATTCCAACCTGCGATGTAAGGATCAACGCCTTACTCAGCGATGCTTTTGCTACTAGAGCACAACTATTGTTGTTTAATGATGAAATACATGGAATCCAATAAAATTCAACATCCTTAAATTATTACTTCAGATCTGGATATTCGTATGAAACCCTCTCCGTAGTTACCATACATGACATTTTAAAATCTTATTATTATAGCCATCAGGTAGATATCGCAATTATGATTTCTCAAAAGCATTTAACACACTTCCTTATGATAAACTGTACCATCAGCTAAACCAACGTAGAATACGAGAAGACATTCAGACATGGTTTAGGATTTTCCAATACAAAATCGAGGGTCCATTGTATCGACCATGGAACTTGCAAAATGGTGACTTTAATTGAAACTGTTTATATCCTTGTTTCATCAACTTGTTTGTCAATCGCTTGCCTATGTATATTGATACATAAGTAAGGGAAGTTGACGATAGTAAAGTTTAAGTCATCACGTTTATCATCAAGTTTTGTTGTTAGGTTACCATTAACATTTTTTTTCTATTTAAATATCCAGATATGAAACGGATGTGCCAGACTCTATGGTATTTCTTTTATTTCAAGTTCACTGGGATATATCGAGTCGATATATGAATAGCAGTAACTATTGTTGATTGATAATACGTCGTAGATTTATCTAAATGTCGCGTTGAAGGCCACAGCAAGTGTCTTCTTCTCATCTATATGCCGATATTGCTGCCATACATTCTTCTGTTTTGAGGATGGGTCAAAAGAAACATCACTGTATACAAATTTTCTTGTGAGCAGTTTCTTTTTTGAGGGGGATGTGGGTGTAGAGGGGTGCTCCCTCATAACTATCAAACATTTTCATGCATGATACAAGCCACCAGGGTTATAGAACAGATTAAATATGCTAGCTACAGTTGCACTCATCTTAAGATGATATATTATTAAAACTTTGAATGAAACTCAAACTTGCAGATAAGAGGACTTTAATGAGACAGTCTGCAAGAACTTTAAAATCTAATATGTCGCTTAACATAGCCTTTTTTAAAGATCCATGCATTGCTTTGCTTTGAAAATGTCATCGATAATTCTATTTTGCTTCGAAATTATCACGTGTTAAGTTATTTTTTACATTACATACATATACTCGTCTAATTTATATAACTCATTTGCATTTCTGTTTTTTTGACGATTACAGACACATAAAATGTTTTTTTCAATGCTCAAGTCAAATGATGCTTGTAATCAATGTCTTTGGTAAAAGATATCCCTAATGCTTATTTCATAGAATGTTTATTAAAGGTGACGCGAAGAAGCATGTGTTATTTGATAGGAAACTTTTCTTTCATTTCCTTTTAGTCAGTACAGTGACATCTAAGGAGGGAGAATCACGGAACATTTCATGGACCGCTGATTTTTTTCCGCGAAGTAATGTTTACTTCATATTTCATGAATATAACGGCTCATTGTCAAAAATAATAAGCATAGAAAACACTGATCCATTACCAACTGAAAAGTATGTTTACCACTCTCGACCATTTAATTCTGTGAATATACTGTTTGAAATAAGAAACGTAACAAAGGAAAGTGCCGGATACTACGTAGGCGGTACATCAGAGACAGAGGCTTGGTCGGGAGAACGTGGAGTAGTTCTCATAGTTTCCGGTAAACCCTTAATAATATCTGACAAACTAGACTGCATGTTTTCTGATTTGTGTTGCCACATGTACCTTCCTTTACTATATTACATGTGCACTTTACCATGGAAATATTTTTTTGATACTGATATTGTAAATGTAACCAATTTGATTTTGATTTTAACTTCTTTGTACGATGTTGATATCAAACTAAAAATGAACGATTACATTTACTTAAATGACGATACATACACTTATATAATAATGATGAAAATATTAACAGGCCTGCTTGTTATTACTCGATTCATCATTCAACATCTAAATAATTTTATCCAGGAAAACCTGTGAAACCTATGATAACGGGAAACCTTAATGTTAAAGTAGGATATCGCATTAACTTACAATGTGAAAGTAGATCTACATCTGCTCCTGACTATTACAAGATGTTTCTGCCGTTATCATATACGTGGTATGTCAACAACACAAGGCTAGATGGAGTGGCGACAGAGATCTACAGCTTTATTGTCACCAAAGACATTAAATACAACCAATATACCTGTCAGTCGAAAGAAAATCTTGAGTCAGAAAAAAGTAAAGAAATTCGAGTAAACCCTTTATGTGAGTACAATCATGATTGCTTTCTATATATAATTATGTAGAAAAGATTTATAATGTTTTTAAGGTGAGAATTTTGTAATTTAAAAAATGTTCTTAACGTCAAAGAGCTAAGTCCACGAAGCATCAAAAACGGCCTCTTCTAAAAAAATTAATGTTATGTTTATTATAGATAATATAGAATTTTTGCTATTCATTACCGTTTTCCTTTTTTCAGTATCTATTATACTTTTTGAAAAATAGATATTGCAATATGGCAGTGTTTTGATAGAAAAAGGCAATAGGAAAGTCATTTTTTGTAATGTAACGTCACGTCAAAAAGCTATGAAATGACTTAAAGTTTGCAATTACTATGTAGAAATATACGAATTTAAGACTTGAAATTGAATAATTGGAGATAGATATTTATTAAATCAACATCATTTAATTTAGAACCATAAATTTAAAAAAGCAGATAAAAGAGTTCATTTGATATATCAATTCTGACTGGATAGAATTGCAAAAATCTTTTCAATGGAAAATGACTACAACTGCGGTATTTTTAGATCAATGAAATAGTAAATATTTGAGCTTTTGAAAATCTATATCTAAATAAATTATCATAGAGAAAATAGTCAACGGAAGTTAAAAAGATATATTTCCTTAACATTTGTAAAAATAAATTGAACATCTCATCTTTTTTGTTCATGTAAAAGAGAAACTGAAAGGAGTTCGTAAAATACGGAACTCATTCAAAACTTGTTATTCCTTAATACAAAATATATACATTTGTGGTATCTCTCTATTATATAAACATGCAGAGAGCAAATATCTTCATAACTGTATGAAGTTTTTCGAAGGTCATAGGTCATTACGTGACCCAATCACACAGCGCAGTAATATCTACATAAAAAGACTTACTCCACTAAGCAATATAGCATGTTTTTCATACATAAAGATGTACAAAATACTCTAGTAAATTATAATAATCATTTTATTTACAATGTAAACGAGTATTTAATACAGTTTTTGATCGGTTTTACATAGAGAATAGAAAACTACATGTTATAAGTTCCATGTCTGAGCTGCATAGTCTCAACGTTTACCCTTATTTTTCTCGCAGGCCTCTGAATGCTATATTTTTTTTTCGTTAAACTTTACTCACAATAAATTTGAAAATCTGTTGAAAAATATCTTCGGCCTTCACAGGATTTGATCACGTGACCGACCCACTTCAATTCCCATTGAAGTTTTTAAACTTGTTATTTATTTCTTAAATGTTGTGGAAATAATTGAATTATGTTTACTGCAAGAAATAAATAAAGGTAGAAATTTGTGTTATACTTGATTATAATTTTGAATGTATATAAACAAAGAGAGTACATGTAACATCAAGATAAATTCTTACATTATACTGTTAAACAACATTGATGAATACGCATGCGAGATCTATCCGCGAGATTCGCACGTACCCCAAGCTCGCGGATATTTATCTTCACGAACCAGCCAATCGCTAGGCCATATTTTATTCCCGTAAAATAATAGGTGTATGCAGGACAGTGATTCGTGACGTGTTGTAAAGTGGAGATAAATAAATGATGTTTCTGTTTTTCTTCTCATAACTTATCAGTATCTATTTACCTATAAATGTAATAAATTTAGTATGTTTTATTGATGTATTGCTTAACATTCACTACTTTCAATTTCATTTTCACATTATGATTTTCATGTGAATAAATAGAGCAGTATTGCATATGTATTGCTCTTATACGTCAAGATAGGAAGTGAGATACATCTATACAGGGATTAATATTTTGCAAATACTCAGCGTAAATTTGATTTTACACGAACAATTTTTGAAAGGCGGGGGGGGGGGGGGGGTTCCAGGTCTGTGCCACAAACACTCATGCATAGAATCACACCACAGGCACTTCAAGCCTGTAGAAGCGGTTTTCTAAGGGGACAACCTTCAAAAAGAGTTGACAAGCAAAAAAAAAAAAAACACCTCGCTCTGAAATCCTATTTCGGGGGGGGGGGGGGGGGGGTCCTCTAACTATTCAGTACATTTTTTTCTTCCAAATACTTGAATTTGTGCATTTTTACCTTCCGGCAAAAAGAAATGGAGGGGGAATCCAAATCAAATACATATTAAAACTACAGCAAGATTATTCTCCGTAAAAGTGAGCCCCCTCACCCGGCATTATACGGGAACATTTTAAAATCTTCCTCTTCATTGAATAAAATATCTCAATAATAAAAGGAGAGAAATATCTTCTCTTATGCACACTCCCTTTCATAGCGTTTTATGTTTACATGTACTTCTTAAAGTTAGATACTTCAGAAGATTGTCCAAAAATTGCATAGCTAAAAGTCCGGCGGAATTCAAAGTGAAACCTACTTATCTATATTCCGCTAATGCACATATTCATGTATATTGTGCTTAATTTTTTTTTATCAGTGTACAATTATTTGTACAAGGGAGGTGCTGGTCAAGAAAACTTGGCAGAAACAATTCATACACAAGTAGTTTACAAGTACACATTTTACTCTTATTTACAATAACGTAACAGTAACGATTAAATAATTCTGAATTTTTTGAAACATATTTCAATTCCCTTTTTCTTCTTCTCTCAAATAATTTTTTTTTTTTTTTGCTTGTCATTTATTTTCTAATTTGACATCCCACTTGCACTTCATCTCACTCCTTATAATAAACAATGTCAAGGGTCATATATGTAAAATATGCATCTTGTTTCTGGAAACATATTTGAAATGTGTTGAAACCAGACCGCATCCTTTCTTTAAAAAAAACGTTACTTTTCACGTTTTTATGCAGGCGCATAAGAATTATCACGCGGGCTTTTTTAATGAAATAATTGACAGGAAGTTACAAAAATAAAGATTGATTGCTGCTACATATAGATATAAATATTGTATGTACCGACATGGGGATTCATTAAGGCCGGACATGTGCATTTGACGGATCAGCACATGAGTTCTATTTTGGATCCAGTTTACAGAGATATTTCTAATTATCTTAATGCTAAAATTCTAATGATATCTTTTTAAAGATAATTTTCCCGTTTCTTATTAAATGCATTTAACAAAACGACAGAAAATTAGGTCCATTATGCATAAAAAGCTTTCGATTTTTTTTATGATAAGCATTTTATATTGATTGCATGTATCTTCTATGACGTCAAAAATGACGTATAACGAGTAACGTCATGTACAACATACATGATCATAATATACACCCATGCTTTTTCCAAATACATACATGTATGATTTCAGAAAATGTCATTTTTAGATTTTTTACCACATTTAGTGTCTTAAAAACAAACAATCGACTGCTTTTCTATCACCTTGTGTCTTATCTATGGATCTTAAGTGTAATATGAACCACCCATTAGCATATTGGCTATTGAAATTACCGGATTTTTGAAAGCATCAAAATTCAAAAGTAATGTCAAATTTCGTATTTGTCAAAGCACAAACAACGCTAATAATTGACATAAAGATTTGTATTTGTGGTATTTATACATATAGTAAGTATGAAAGTTGTTCTTGCCTGTAACCCCATCTAACTTTGGGAAAAAAACCTGTTGATAAATGGGCATTTTAAACCCTTTTTAAAACCAGCATATATTCCAATCGTCTGATTTGCCTAATGACGCCTCATTTAACTTTTTTTTTACATGTGGGATATGAGTGCGTTTCCACTTACATTATCAATATATTTACACCTCATGAATCGATCATATTAGTTTGTGTAAAACACGAAGACACATATGATGGATCGTGGCCATAGCATTTTTCACACGCATTGAAATTTTATTTTATTTTTTTTCAACTTGAGCACACTCGTTACCACAAAATATTTTCACTGGAAAATGTTTCTCGAATAGTTATTATTCTTTTTCTGTTTTAATATTTTGCGGTAACGAGTAGGCTGCATGTGTAAATCACGATTAATTGTGTAAAATTTGGCACTTTCCCGGAAAATCTCGAACCACGGTGAGGTTTAGAATTTAGTTTGACATAATAAATATCCGGTTTTGACGGAAATATTGTACATGTGAAATGTGTTAATGTTCTAGGGTGAGAATTATCAAAAACATTCATTCTGAAGCCATTTTAAATTTTTTCATATTTACTAGGCCAAATAAGGCATATTGTGGGTCGAGTTCTTTTACTAGCTATAGTTTACTAAATATAAATTAAGTTTTAAAACAACATCTAATTGAATGAAGACTAAGACGTAATAGTTTGTAGAAAAATCAAATAATCTGACAAAACTGAATTGTAGGCGGCTCGAAAATATCTAGTCAAAACATTGATCAAATTTTCAACAAATAATTTTGATGACAATAAGGTATATTCAGATTTAGAATAAATATTTTTCATTTTTAGATTTCAGGCTGGAACGATGATTGATTTTATTGACACCTCTTTAAAAATAGCTGTTTGTAATCTATAAATTAGCATTAATTATTTTGTAACTACTAAATGATTTGATGTTAGATTTTCTGTTAAATTTTGGTTGACATCGTATTAATTCTTGTGTCAAAACATAAAATGAAATATATGGAGATAACGAACAGTATTCAAGCTCAAAAGTCCATTAAACAATACAAAATAGGAGCAGAGCAAACACGGACCTCCAAACATCAGAGGTAGGATCAGGTGCCATGATAATAATATGAAGCTTGAATTTTCTAGATAGTTTATTTATTGTATTGCTTCATTATTACAATTTCATAAATACACACGTATCTTTCAAATTGCCAATAAACTGAATCTGGTTTTAGCATTTCGAAAAGAACAACATTACCAATTCCAAATTTATGGTGATAGAACCATATCAGATGATTGAATTGAGAGTCGTCCTTATATTTTTTGCTGAAGAAACTGATATTCACCAGTTTTCTCTGTAATTGAAGAATACTGATATTCTTTAAAACTATGCACTTTTTTTTTTTTTGGAAGGAAATGTTAAACATAGGAAATAAGACATTTTATTAAGATGGACAGGATTATTCTGTGCATAAAGTGAACAAGTGTCAAACTCCTTTACACTGATCCATGGCACTTGATCCTATTCTGATTATTGTATTGTCATTGTACTATTCGAATAGTCAATCTGAAAGGTACACACCTTTAAAAAATTGAAAAGAAATACAATGTATATGGAGTTTTGAAATAATCATTCTTACATTTCTCTTTTTACAGATGGTCCAGAAAGTGTGATGATAAACCCACAACCTCTTAATGACACAATAACAATTAAAAATGGAGAACCATTTGGTCCGTACACCTGTTCAGCTGACTGTAATCCACCTTGTACCTTACAGTGGAAGTATAAACATCCCTCAGGAGATTTTGTAAATTATACACCCCATGGTATTTCTCCATTACTTTTACCAAAGCAAAACGCGGACAGAACTAGAATGACTCTGGTACGATGTGTAGCCAACAATAGCGAAGGGCGTAAGAAGCAAGGCATAAAGTTGAACATTCTGTGTAAGTTTATTGTATAATAACCAATTTCATTATTTATTGTGAATCAAAGAAAGAATATTTCGTAAATTGGTGGGATAGTAGAACATAGAAAACAATTCATACTTACAGAAACCCCCTTCCCGCCAAAAAATGACGGATTAGCAAACATTGTTTCTATTTTATTTTAACCGAAAACTATTTGTTGTACTTCAGTATTTTTATCTATCGTGAAATGTAATATTTAAAGATTAAGGGGGGAGGGTATATGTTGTCGCCCTATACATATTGTCGCCGGCGACATTATATATAATACTTACCCTCACTGCACATACAGCCACCCATCGATACACATGGGCCCCCGCTACAGTATGAACTGAGACAAGCCTTTTTATCAGGGCTGCAAAATGTACCTTACACATCGGTACATATTTATTGCGTATATTTGTATTTCTTCTCCCTTTTTCTTAGAGTTTATATAATTTACTGTAGTCGTTGAGAGAGAGAGAGAAGGAGAAATGCTACGCACTTTACTTTTTATTAATTTGTTTAATCATGCTATTTGCACCATTCAACCTCTTCACCGTGTATATTGTAAATGAAATATAAACATTTCATTGCAGCTCCTTCTGTGGAGTTTAAAATAACAATTTCACGTACAAAAAATATTGAATTATTGTCTTATACTTAAATGCAATTCTATGAAGACTGTATATATGATTTTTGATATCATCGACATGTTCAATATTATTAAAAGTCTTATTGTTACTCACGAGTTTCGAAATTTATAACAATCGTAAATATATTGAATTACTTGAACATTGTGAACGACAAAATAAATAATATCTAAATATTTTATAGACATATCTTTTTTTTTTAATTCCTTGTTTTTAAGGATTACATTGATGCTTTATGAACTTTTCTTTCAGATTCCATGGACCCTCAGGTGTACATTAATAAAAAAATTCAAAATTCCTCAATAATGAATGAAGACAAGCCTCTTAGTCTGACATGTCTCGTTCGGGGAAATCCCACCCCAAAAGTCACCCTCAAAAATCTCACTGGTGACAAGATCATTGGAGAAAACCCTTTATACTTCACTTTCAAAACAGTTGCAAAGTGTTCTGACACTGGCACTTACAGCTGTCAAGGAAAATCAACTGAGTTTGGAAGCAGGAATCAATCATTCCACATCAATGTTTCCTGTAAGATTGCATTGCCATTGCTTATGTACCGTAAACATTTAGCCATTTTACAATTCATTGAACAATAATCAGAAACAAATTAATCCAATTAATCCAAATTTAACCAAAAACCGTTCTGTTGTCATCAATAGTATCAACCTGGAAAATATGTAAATGTGTTAAAAGGTAGATCTTTTCATCGCTGCAAATCAGTATACATTGTATGACTGAATGAAATTACTTGTCTCAGATGTCGGCGATTAAAGGAGACAGTCGAGCTTCTCGACTTCAGCAGATCGATTCCTAGAAATATATAGGGTTTGTGCCGTTTCCTTTCTTTAAATTGATGTAAAGGAGATTGGTATCACATATTATAACTGGAGAATCAGATTTGTATCACATATTATCGACGTTATCGATGTAAAACTCTTAAACTCTTATAGGTATATTTGTAAATGTTTTAAAAGGTAGATTCATTTCATCGCTGCAGGTCGTTATATATTGTATGACTTAATGAAGACGCTTGCACCCGACGTCAGAGGTTTACGGAGAGAGCCGAGCTTTTCGACCTTTGCGAGTCCTAAAAGGATATAGTGTTTTGAGTCGTTTCATACTTATAGTTCATTAAAAAATAGATGAGGATGAGATAGGTATCATATATCATAATTACAGAATCGGATATACATCATAAATTATTATTTGCTGAGTACCAGATATGTATCATATATTATTATTCGGCATGAATGAGATAGTATCATATATTAGTATTGGGCTAGAATGAGCTTATTATAGGGTGATAAAAAAGATATGTATCATATTCAATGATAGCTTATATTCTATTTAATATGAAAAGAGGACGTGTTTTCGGGGTGGGGGAGGGGCTTTCTTTTTTCTAATGTTCTGAAAACACCGGGAGCTATCATTAATTACGTATTATGTAATGAAAGTAAATATAATTCATATTTTATATTACATCATATTTAGAAAATAGAAATTCTGATTTTATCATTTTTATGAAGATTTGTTTGATTCTCAGTAACAAATAAACTCAAAATAATCAAGCTTTTCTTTTAGGAGTTTATATTAATTTATATTACATATCAAAAAGCACAAAAGCAAATGTAAACGATTGGTTTATTATACGTTTCGTAAGAGTGGCTTGATATTTAGACTCGAATGTTCTAATTTACAAATATAAAACTAATCCTTTAGGTGCCCCCCGCCTCGATGACTCCATCTTATTCAAAAGCATATATGGTTCCAAGAGTGGCCCGAACGTTAACGTTGATGTAAGTTTGCCCGTTATTGCAAATCCCTTAACATCTACATCAGAGTTCAGTTGGTCAGGACCTACATCTGAGTCTATATCGATTAAAGTTTCACAAAGAGATAACGTTATCTACAAACACTGGATCAACAGCACCATCCCTGTTCCTACAAAAAGATCCTTTGGAAACTACACCCTGACGTACAAAGGAGAAGTCTTCGTTGAAATAACAATTAACGCCGAAGGTTGTATTAAGATTGCTTTTGTTCGAGTGACCTTACATTTTATTGCATTTATACTTATGCACGTGAAAGTCTTTAAAGCATGCGGAACTTTCAGCAAGGAATGTTTGTCCAGCCTTGGCATTAGTTTATGTAATTTAGGCTTAAAATGTAAGTTAGAGTTCAAATTCCTTAAAACAACACTCCTTATCTTCTGTTTGCTCAGTAAAGTTTGTGATGTTTTTTTCAAACCCTTTGAAGAGAATCAGTAAACGTGTGTGCGTGCGGCGGCACGTATTGTCATCCCTACATATATTGTCGTTCGGCAATCAGATTTTGGAACGCAGTTCGCAGTTCGCAATTCGCAATTCAAAAGTGAACTGCATTCCAGAACGCAGTTCGCAATTCAAAATTTAAACATAAGTCATGGGGTCTGAAATTTTGAGGGTAGGGTACTAGTGGTCAGTTACCACTTCTATGAAAAAATGGTGATGGTACCATCTCTAGTTTCCGAGATATAGAACTCCAGTTTTTAGGCCTACTATATAATACTATATGAATAAACATCGGGTTCGGGGACATCGAAGTCCCCTGTCCCGGGGTCTGAAATTTTGAGGGTAGGGTACTAGTGGTCAGTTACCACTTCTATGAAAAAATGGTGATGGTACCATCTCTAGTTTCCGAGATATAGAACTCCAGTTTTTAGGCCTACTATATAATACTATATGAATAAACATCGGGTTTGGGGACATCGAAGTCCCCTGTCCCGGGGTCTGAAATTTTGAGGGTAGGGTACTAGTGGTCAGTTACCACTTCTGTGAAAAAATGGTGATGGTACCATCTCTAGTTTCCGAGATATAGAACTCCAGTTTTTAGGCCTACTATATAATACTATATGAATAAACATCGGGTTCGGGGACATCGAAGTCCCCTGTCCCGGGGTCTGAAATTTTGAGGGTAGGGTACTAGTGGTCAGTTACCAATTCTATGAAAAAATGGTGATGGTACCATCTCTAGTTTCCGAGATATAGAACTCCATTTTTTTTGCCCACTATATAATACTATATGAATAAACATCGGGTTCGGGGACATCGAAGTCCCCTGTCCCGGGGTCTGAAATTTTGAGGGTAGGCTACTAGTGGTCAGTTACCACTTCTGTGAAAAAATGGTGATGGTACCATCTCTAGTTTCCGAGATATAGAACTCCAGTTTTTAGGCCCACTATATAATACTATATGAATAAACATCGGGTTCGGGGACATCGAAGTCCCCTGTCCCGGGGTCTGAAATTTTGAAAGTAGGCTTCTAGTGGTCAGTTACCACTTCTGTGAAAAAATGGTGATGGTACCATCTCTAGTTTCCGAGATATAGAACTCCAGTTTTTAGGCCTACTATATAATACTATATGAATAAACATCGGGTTCGGGGACATTGAAGTCCCCTGTCCCGGGGTCTGAAATTTTGAGGGTAGGGTACTAGTGGTCAGTTACCACTTCTGTGAAAAAATGGTGATGGTACCATCTCTAGTTTCCGAGATATAGAACTCCAGTTTTTAGACTAACAATATAATACTATATGAATAAACATCGGGTTCGGGGACATCGAAGTCCCCTGTCCCGGGGTCTGAAATTTTGAGGGTAGGCTTCTAGTGGTCAGTTACCACTTCTGTGAAAAAATGGTGATGGTACCATCTCTAGTTTCCGAGATATAGAACTCCAGTTTTTAGGCCTACTATATAATACTATATGAATAAACATCGGGCTCGGGGACATCGAAGTCCCCTGTCCCGGGGTCTGAAATTTTGAGGGTTGGCTACTAGTGGTCAGTTACCACTTCTGTGAAAAAATGGTGATGGTACCATCTCTAGTTTCCGAGATATAGAACTCCAGTTTTTAGGCCTACTATATAATACTATATGAATAAACATCGGGCTCGGAGACATCGAAGTCCCCTGTCCCGGGGTCTGAAATTTTGAGGGTAGGCTACTAGTGGTCAGTTACCACTTCTGTGAAAAAATGGTGATGGTACCATCTCTAGTTTCCGAGATATAGAACTCCAGTTTTTAGACTAACAATATAATACTATATGAATAAACATCGGACTCGGGGACATCGAAGTCCCCTGTCCCGGGGTCTGAAATTTTGAGGGTAGGCTTCCAGTGGTCAGTTACCACTTCTGTGAAAAAATGGTGATGGTACCATCTCTAGTTTCCGAGATATAGAACTCCAGTTTTTAGGCCTACTATATAATACTATATGAATAAACATCGGGTTCGGGGACATCGAAGTCCCCTGTCCCGGGGTCTGAAATTTTGAGGGTAGGGTACTAGTGGTCAGTTACCACTTCTATGAAAAAATGGTGATGGTACCATCTCTAGTTTCCGAGATATAGAACTCCAGTTTTTAGACTTACAATATAATACTATATGAATAAACATCGGGTTCGGGGACATCGAAGTCCCCTGTCCCGGGGTCTGAAATTTTGAGGGTAGGGTACTAGTGGTCAGTTACCACTTCTATGAAAAAATGGTGATGGTACCATCTCTAGTTTCCGAGATATAGAACTCCAGTTTTTAGATTTACAATATAATACTATATGAATAAACATCGGGTTTGGGGACATCGAAGTCCCCTGTCCCGGGGTCTGAAATTTTGAGGGTTGGCTACTAGTGGTCAGTTACCACTTCTGTGAAAAAATGGTGATGGTACCATCTCTAGTTTCCGAGATATAGAACTCCAGTTTTTAGGCCTACTATATAATACTATATGAATAAACATCGGGCTCGGAGACATCGAAGTCCCCTGTCCCGGGGTCTGAAATTTTGAGGGTAGGCTACTAGTGGTCAGTTACCACTTCTGTGAAAAAATGATGATGGTACCATCTCTAGTTTCCGAGATATAGAACTCCAGTTTTTAGGCCTACTATATGATACTATATGAATAAACATCGGGTTCGGGGACATCGAAGTCCCCTGTCCCGGGGTCTGAAATTTTGAGGGTAGGGTACTAGTGGTCAGTTACCACTTCTGTGAAAAAATGGTGATGGTACCATCTCTAGTTTCCGAGATATAGAACTCCAGTTCTTAGGCCTACTATATAATACTACATGAATAAACATCGGGTTCGGGGACATCGAAGTCCCCTGTCCCGGGGTCTGAAATTTTGAGAGTAGGGTACTAGTGGTCAGTTTCCACTTCTGTGAAAAAATGGTGATGGTACCATCTCTAGTTTCCGAGATATAGAACTCCAGTTTTTAGGCCTACTATATAATACTATATGAATAAACATCGGGTTCGGGGACATCGAAGTCCCCTGTTCCGGGGTCTGAAATTTTGAGGGTAGGGTACTAGTGGTCAGTTACCACTTCTGTGAAAAAATGGTGATGGTACCATCTCTAGTTTCCGAGATATAGAACTCCAGTTTTTAGGCCTACTATATAATACTATATGAATAAACATCGGGTTCGGGGACATCGAAGTCCCCTGTTCCGGGGTCTGAAATTTTGAGGGTAGGCTACTAGTGGTCAGTTACCACTTCTGTAAAAATATGGTGATGCTACGATCTCTTGTTTCCGAGATCCACCTCTCCACTCTTTATGGCTAATATATAATACTAAGTGAATAAACATCGGGCTCGGGGAAATCGAAGTCCCCTGTCCCGGGGTCTGAAATTTTGAGGGTAGGCTACTAGTGGTCAGTTACCACTTCTGTGAAAAAATGGTGATGGTACCATCTCTAGTTTCCGAGGTATAGAATTCCAGTTTTTAGACTTACAATATAATACTATATGAATAAACATCGGGCTCGGGGAAATCGAAGTCCCCTGTCTTGGGGTCTGAAATTTTGGGAGTGGGGTACTTGGGGTCAATTACCACTTCTGTGAAAATACGGTGATGGTACCATCTCTAGTTTTCGAGATCCACTCCTCCACTTTTTATGGCAACTTTATAAAAAGTGAATAAACATCGCGCTCGGGGACATCGAAGTCCCCTGCCCCGGGGTCTGAAATTTTAAGTACTCGTTTTAAACTGAAAGATATATTGGATTTATCAAATCTTTTCAAGAATTATTGGTCCATTGCAGGTTGAGCACAATATTTAACCCTTAATCTTGAGACATATCCAAGTTGTGTTGATTCCCTTTTTTAATCTTGTAATGGAGATGGCTAAAATTGAGATCAAATCTTATTACAAGTAAAAGAGAAAAAAAAACTCTTTTCCAGAACTTCAGTTCCAATATAGTCACGTTGATATCAAAGCATGCGCGCGTATGCTGTGTTGATTCAGATACCACTTCGAGTAAGGTCTATAATAATTACTGAATCACAGTTTTTCTTAAAAAAAAGAAAAGAGAAATTTCTTTTAAATAAAAGCGGGGCTAAAGTTTCTCAGGTTTGCATTTTGGCCCAGGTCCACCTGTGTTCTTCATTAGGAATTTTATGAAGCCAATTGACTTCCGACTTAGAACTTTTACAATAGGGATAAATTTAAGTGCTGGATACTATGAAACATATTCGAGACGCATTGGGTATTATTGTCAAAAAACCTTTATGAAAAACATGGTGATGCCGTCGTGTTTTACGATTTAAGATCTGACCTCGAATCTTGATCCTTTCGATAGGTCCCGCATTTTTTAAACATCATGCTCAGAAATATTGAAAAACCCGTAACATAGAGGATTGAAATTTTTAGTGGGGATCTAGTCGTCAAATTAAATTAACCACTTCCCGAAATATTTCTGGAACAGAGGCTCAAGGGTCCTAGGTCACCTGAGTATAATGTCACAATATAAAGGATCAGGAGATTGAACATGAAGTAAAACAAAGACGCCGATAAATAAAGCTATGTTGCCCCAAAACAAGAGAAATATGAACATACTGAACAGGGATCAGCAACAAAATTAATTTATTGTTCAAGAGCAAATATAAAAATTGATTTATTTACTTGCCTGTACTTTTAGTTTGTCACTATTCTCATGCAGACTAAACAACACAATAGTTCTTGAGCACTGTTACTAAACCTATCTC